TGTTGAATGATATATATAACTAAGATCATTCAACACCCGGTAAACCACATAATATATAGTTATATATCATTCAACACCCGGTAAACCACCCCGGTAAACCACATGCCCGGTATGTCTGTAAACTATCACTCCTGTTAATAACACACGGCATGTCTGTAAACTACCATTCCTGTTAATAACACACGGTATGTCTGTAAACTACCACTCCTGTTAATAACACCCGGTATGTCTGTAAACTACCACTCCTGTTAATAACACCCGGTATGTCTGTAAACTATCACTCCTGTTAACAACACCCGGTAAACCACATGTATAGTTATATATATCATTCAACATGTTATTGACAGGAGTGATAGTTTACAGACATACCGGGTGTTATTGACAGGAGTGATAGTTTACAGACATACCGGGTGTTATTAACAGGAGTGATAGTTTACAGACATACTGTATGTTATTAACAGGAGTGATAGTTTACAGACATACCGTGTGTTATTAACAGGAGTGATAGTTTACAGACATACCGTGTGTTATTAACAGGAGTGATAGTTTACAGACATACCGTGTGTTATTAACAGGAGCGATAGTTTACAGACATACCGTGTGTTATTAACAGGAGTGATAGTTTACAGACACACTGTATGTTATTGACAGGAGTGATAGTTTATCTATTTTTCATCTTCTATAACTCGGACTGTGGTAATCTAAACTATCACATATTTTCAGTGAATATGTTCCACTAAACTCTTACTTCACATATCAAATTTCAAGACAATCCATTAAGAAATACCTGAGATATAACATCTCCAATTTTGATTGAGTTTCTTCCTTTTTTTGTTCGCGCCAAAAGTACAGATTCTATATTTGATATAAAAACATATTTAGCTTTTATGGATTTTTTTTTGTCAAATCTAGTACACAGATAGATCTTTACAACCGATAATTAGGAGCCTCATTTAATGTAAGTATAAGACACACGTTTGACCAAAAGTTTTGCGCAAATTATGGATAACTGGACCAGGTTGATGGGAATCTTTTAAAGTCCACTTTTAAAGGTACCAGAACATAGGAGGTTTTTCAGTTTTAAATAAGAGCAAAGGTAAGAATAAGTTGTAAAGGAATACGAAACAGGCTCGGGTTTGTGTTCATGGACGTAAAGCAGAAGCTTTTAAAACTAATCATTATCTGGTTTTAGTTGTTCGTCTTCATGTCTTGTAGGCCTTTTTATCCTAAAGTTCTTGTCAAGTCGCTACATTTCCTAAGCCTCCTTTTTCGTGAAGCAATTGTATTATCAGAGAACCGATTTAGGCTTAAAGTGTGTGACGTCACGTCATGTGACAGTGGATTGTTATGCACATGCGCACTTGGTTGAAATCTGTTTTAGTTTCGTTTATGTGGTTCTGATTTGTGTTAAGTGACCTGAAATTCATTTTTTTTTCAGATTTATTAATATGACTTGAAGTAAAAAACAAAACACTAAAAAAAATTAAAAACTTAATTATTTATTAATAAACAAATTCACACGAAATGTTGAAAATAACAATTGAAATTGAAAATTTCTCACCATTTATAGCTTACGTTGTATAAAATGTACAGAAATGCTCCACAGAATCTTTTGCGAAAACGTTTCATTAACATCTAGATACGGAATTATATAATAAAACTAAACAGCACAAACATTATTATGCATTATTATACGAAAAACTGTGAGGCTTAGAGCACGCGAGGTTTAGAAAAAAACGGGAACGTTTTGTGCAAGAGCTTCCCTGATTGGATGCTCAGAAGAACAAAGAATCCCACCTTGTTGCCGAGAAAGAGCTTCTCTGATTGGATGCTCAGAAGAACAAAGAATCCCACCTTGTTGCCGAGAAAGAGCTTCTCTGATTGGATGCTCAGAAGAACAAAGAAGTTCCATTGTTGCCGAGAAAGAGCTTCTCTGATTGGATGCTCAGAAGAACAAAGAATCCCACCTTGTTGCCGAGAAAGAGCTTCTCTGATTGGATGCTCAGAAGAACAAAGAATCCCACCTTGTTGCCGAGAAAGAGCTTCTCTGATTGGATGCTCAGATGAACAAAGAATCCCCCCCTTGTTGCCAAGAGTTTGACCATAACCAAGGACAAATGAATATCGCAATATAAGATCAACTAGAAATTACAACATCACCACGCATAAATGTCGGAGTCAGAAGGGCACGTGACCCCAATAACTAAATTAAGGGGCCCGAATAGCATTGCCCCCCCCCCCACAATAGTTTGCTGACCAAGGTTTTTTATTTGGTCTTTTTCTATGCAATCGGCTGACCCGACTTTGCTAGCCGAAATGAGAGGAGACTACACCTCTTTGGCAGATTCTAAACATTAGGCTGTTTGTATCTATATAATAATGTAAATACTAGTTATTATCTATTTAACATACGATATTGTAGTGCACAACAAAACAACTTAACTTGTATTCTGTATGTACAATACAGTACTTGTTATTCTGTGTAATTCTTGAATAATATTTTAAAGCGTTTTTATTGGTTGTCAGACAATTTGTATTCATTCACGACTGACTCTCCACCCACACGTATAAGCCTTTCTACGTCTTACTGAATAAACTCACACATCAGCCATGTTTTGTGTTAAATAAAACTACATAAAAGAAACGTATATATAGACACAAACTCAGCGGTAATATGTAATATTATAAAAAAGGAAAAGAAAACTAGAAAATTGATCATGGTGTTGAAATGAGGCATTTAACGTTCGAAAACCGGAAAAGGGTTCTTGGTTTGTGTTAATAAAAGATGTACATTTTGGGAAAATCTAACACACAACTCTTTGATTCATAAAAAAAAATAAAACGTTACAACACCCACTGACTAAACACGCAGTGAAAATAGAGGTTTGACGTAATAAAGACTGCTCCAATAAATGCTTGAAAAATAGACCAAAAAAAACTAAATCCTATAATTCGAGCACCTTTAAAGGGTGGACCTTTTTCATCAGGGGCAAAGAGGGAACCCCAATTTGCTGCTGAAGAAGAGAGATCCACCTTTCGAAAGCACTCGGGTTAGAGGATTTCGTATTTTTTGTGTTTAATTAATGTTTCGAACCTACGTTGATTTCTTAACATCATAAATGTTTGAGCTAAATCTTAGCTTTGAAAAACATCTTTGATGCAGCCAAGCACACACACACACACGTGTAGATAGGATTAAAACTCTAATTCGACAAAGGAAAAAGAAAGGTTCTATAATACTCTCTCCTCCAGCAGCACCAATAAGGTATTCACACAAACGTCGTCCACAGAATCTCTTAACATGTTACCATTATTAAGAATATTAAGAAAGTGTTGATTCTGTTTCTTGTTAAGCAAACAGTAAAAGATTTTTCGTCTCTTCGGTTTTTGAAACAAAACTTTATTTACCGAGACATATTTCTGATGTCCGTTATTCTGTGAAAAGCGTTTTGGTAATGCAAAATATTGTATAAAACACACGAATAACGTTTTTGTTTTGGCAACTTATTGTAGTTAGAAATAAGGTATTATCACGTGACATCTGCTTTCAAGAGTATAAACACGGAATTAATCGTAACATGTATAAATCTCAACAAGCGACCATCTTGTCTCAACTGGCACTCAAAAGATGAGGGTAATAGTTAGGATACGTGGCGCCACCTGATGTAAATGTTGATGATGAATCCCAGCCACGTACTTCGAAATTTACTTCTCCAAGTCCGGAAATACTGGAAAACGTTTGAGTTGTTGAAACCTTTCCAATATTCGAAATAGCTGACTTATCAAAGAAGGCTGGAAACTGGTTGCTCACTTGACATTGGGATAGTTGTTCCAACGACGTGTCAACTTTCAGGATTGAGCCTGACGTGGTCAAGTTGGTAATGTTTTTTGTAGAGTCCAGATCGCCCACTAGCCCATCAAAGTTATTTTTATCGTATACATTCAAGCCCTGTGTGCTTGCAATGGGCAAACTGTCATGGATGTTTACAGTGGACATTGGAAACCGTGGTTGCTGGGTTGGTGCCCTCATGAATAATCTGGTGTCTAGATGGTTTTGGGTTTTGGAAGACAAAGTTTGTTGTACAGGGTGTATGGAGGGTCCTATAGACGAGCCAAATATATTGGCGGTGGCTTCTGGAATTGGGGAGGGATTAGACATGGAAGGTAGTTGACGTCGATGCTGAGATATGAAGGTCTGTTGTCCTGTCGTCCGTTGATTAATATGGCTGCCGAGTTCCGTTGAATGACATTTCTTAGTCAGGTGTTTAAGTTTTGTAGAGCCAAACTTAGTTTGTGCAAAAGTGGCGGTTGTAAAAGTTAGAGGCGCCATTGAATTGGGAGGAAAACTGTTGTTTGGTACATACGTCGAGGTTAGGTCGGAGGTTAGTGAGGAAGACGGTGAATGACTTAGAGAGATCTGGATCAAATTGGACGTAACGTTGTCCAGAGGTTTGAAGCATTGAGCATCAGGGTTAAAAGCGCCTGGAAAGTTGCAAGTGGAAGGTTCTTTACAACCGTTTACTTTGTCGTACAACCCTTTAACTAACCCCTTTTCTCCCAGGCGGTACGACACCTCTCCTGGATCGATCCAAATACTGAGATCCTTTGGTAAGTTCGCCTGAATGTCATCTAGATCCACGCTACAGAGGGCAGCAGCAACACCGAACACCGGGTCTAGAGGGATGGTGGTCTTCAAACAACGGTATCCAGAGCCTTTCAATGGCCTTTCTGGATACCAGTGACCAGCAAACTTCTGTCGTAACGCCTTTTCTAGTTCCTCAGCGTACTGATTGACCCGTCTTCGTGGTAGTTTGTTGTAAAGAAAAGAAATCAGGAAGTTTAGGGCTACTTGCACTTCAATGCGCATGTTTCTTGAAAGTTGATGACCGGAGAAGGTATTCTTCACTCTTTTGATTGTTAGGTCAGCAAGAATAAAATAATTTTATTTATTTTAATTTCACACTGTTATCATGTTATTCTCAGATAGACTACCAGTGAAGAGCGATCATGGCTTCCTTCTTCACAACTTCTGTGAAAAGACAGAGAATTAAAGTCTAAATATCATAATCCTGTAAACGAAAAAAAAATGCTTATGTCTAATATACAAAGTTAATGTTTCAAGCCATTCTCTTTGAGGTTGTGTTTAAGATTGTTGGTATTAATCATCTTATTAACAAAAGTTTAGGACGTTTAGAAGTAAAGTAACTTGTAAAAAAAAATGACGACCACACTAATATTGTCAGGGCCGTTATTGAAACATTTTGCGTTAGTTAAAGCATAGCCTGGGGGTTTGGGCGCTATGCTTGCAGTATCTGGGATTGAAGCCCGTCACCGAATATCTCGCAATTTCAGCCGTGGGGGCGTAGTAATGTAACGGTAAATCCCGTTGTCTGTTGGTAAAGAGTACCCCAAGAGTTGGTGTTGACTAGTTGCCTTTCTTCCAAATCTACCACTTCAAAATTAGGGACGACTATAGCAGACAGCCCTCTAGGGGCGTTGCGTGGAATTCATCAACCAAACAAAATGAACACAAATTAATAGTTTTATTCTACTACACTAGATTTTTAGGATCCTGTATAGAGATATCCTACATATATGTATCACACTTCCCTGATGTGCGTAACAAATACGTGATTGTTGTGTAAATCTAAGAATAATACTTTAAGTTAGTTGTTTAGCACTGACCCAGTAGGAAACAAGACAGATTTCATTCAGTTGTTGAAACAATACTTTAGTAATAAGAACGTTAGTATCTTATATCAAAAACGTAACAATACTTCTCACAGAGCAGTAGAGTCGGGCGTGGCCTAGTGATTAGGATGCCTAAACTGTTAATCTGCCGGTTATGGTTTCCGTCCCGTTAGAGCAAAAAAAGAGGAAAAATAGTTAATTGCATTGGACTCGTGAGTGCGTTATCAGAGTGACGGTCAGATCCCAGTATTCGGTCAAACAATAACGGCCCAAATGTTGGCGGCGAGTGCTGTTGACTATCTGCATTTTCTCTAATCTATCAATTCAAAATTAGGAACGGATATGCGCAGATAAGTAGCTGGAAAGTAACAATTAGAACGGTAAACAAGAAAGCTTCAGCTATAAGAGTGGTTTCCAAACTTTATGTAGTGGCGCTCCCCAACTCAGCATTATTTTTTCTCGGAACCCATTCTTTCATACTGAACCATTTTCACAAGTGATAATAACAGTTGTTTCTTTGCCTCTCTCCAATCAGTTTTATTTTATTATCAGGAAAATGTAACGTGTTCTGCTTTTTTCATTGTTATTTTTGGGTTCTCCTGGCAAAAGGCCGCGACCCCCTCAGGGGTTCGCGCTCCACAGTTGAGAAAACACTGGGCTATTACATAAAGTAATAGCATTAAAGAATTAGTTACAGAGCATCTGTTACACTGAAGAGAAAGATATTAGCTTTGTAAGATTAATGAGGTTTCATTCAGTAAGACGTCATATCATAAGACGGTCATCTCACTTTTAAACCCAGCATGGCCTGATGGTTAGGGGGCGCTCGGCTCACAATCTGCGGGAGGCGAGTTCGTATCCTATCACCGAACATGCTCGCTCTTTCAGCCGTGGGGGCGTTATAGAATGATGTTCAATCCCACTATTCGTTGTTTAAAAAAGTGGCCCAAGAGTTGGCGGTGGGTAGGGCTGATTAGCTGCCTTCCCTCTAGCCTATCACTACTAAATTAGGGACAGCTAGCGCAGATAGCCGCCGTCGTGTAACCTTGCACGAAATTCAAACCAATACTAACTAACCTGGAAGCCCTATCGTACTTCATAAAATTGATCTGGAACATTTATTTAATGATAAGTAAGATATTTACAACTGTAATGACGACGGTATTCCCTGCAGATGTCGCTTATGTCGACAGAAGAGATTCCATAATGACGTGTACGAAATGTTTGAGAATTTTAATGCACTACAGATGTACCAATGCCACGCGCAGTGAGAGGTGGTAACACATCATCTATATGATATATTTATAGATTTTATATAGAAGGGTCATTGTTTCGTTTTATAAACGGCTACATCTTTCCCGGGATTTGTGGCTATGTATGAACTCCATCTTTGTTTCTTTATAAGCTTCTGTTGAGTACTTTCTTTGACGTGGCCACACCTTGGTTCACGTGTGAAGGACAAAAGATGAATAACGTGTGTTTTTAGATGTCTTATAATAAAATACACACTGTTGATGGATGTTTATATCAAATAATACTAAATCCATCAAATGATTGATGATACTTGGAAACGAAACTTTTAACAATTAGGAATATATATAGATTGAAAGAACACAATAATAAAATCATTCATGTCCACTGAGCTTGATTATTTAAATAACGTTTTATTTTATTTTATCGAAAAGCAATAAGTAAGATGTGACATAAAAACATCTCTCGTAATATAAGTGTCTATCTTAAAATCCAGTTGTACAATCAATGTTGTACTAGTTATGAATATATATAATGTATTAGTACCCCTAGCGGCCATCCCACTAACTAATCTGTATAACTGTATAATGTTTGTGTTTTTGTCCTAAATATGCCAGTAATGGTTTGAAAGTACATAAACTGTATGTATACCCCACGTAATAAACGGAAAAACAGGAGAAATCCCATCAGTACCCCTAGCGGCCATCCCACTAACTAATCTGTATAACTGTATAATGTTTGTGTTTTTGTCCTAAATATGTCAGTAATGGTTTGAAAGTACATAAACTGTATGTATACCCCACGTAATAAACGGAAAAACAGGAGAAATCCCATCATTACCCCTAGCGGCCATCCCACTAACTAATCTGTATAACTGTATAATGTTTGTGTTTTTGTCCTAAATATGTCAGTAATGGTTTGAAAGTACATAAACTGTATGTATACCCCACGTAATAAACGGAGAAACAGGGCAAATATCATCATTACCCCTAGCGGCCATCCCACTAACTAATCTGTATAACTGTATAATGTTTGTGTTTTTGTCCTAAAT